GACGAATGCAGTCGGTGGCAAAAAAAACTCGTATTGATCGCTCTTTTCTTGTGACAGAATGATGTTGTAAGTAGTCGACCCAATTGTTGAAGCGAATAGGGTATAAACGGTGAGAGAAAGAAATTTTTTTTATCATACAACATGGACTTTATACCACTGCATCATTGGAAAGTTTTCATTTCCTCAATATTGAAAAAAAATCCAATTTTTTGGGTGATGGAGAAAAGGATATATCATTCGCACTCACAATTAACGCGCCCTTAGTTCAACATTTATTATGGATATTGTCTTCAGCTTTTCCATACATGATTTGATAGAGCGTAGGCTGATAGTCGTGAAAAACTATTTTTTAACATTTATTGATATCCTTTTCGGTTGAAAAATAAAAAAACGGAGTGTATGACTATCGGTTTTATCAAAAAAAAAACCATCTTTTTCACATTGCCTAAATTTGTTTCTTTACTTTGTTTGACAACTGCTAAATATATTTTCTTCTGACGCAACATAAAAAAAAACAGCATAAAGACAATGTTAAATCAATTTTAGTCCAAAAAATATATTAATGGCAGAAAAATTCTCCGCTTGCCTGGTATTGCTAATGAGCCATTTTTCAAGATCTATCTAGCTTTTTAAGGCACATAATGAGCTCAAAAACTTTATATGACTACATTCATCATATCATCAATCATAGAAGTAACTTACGTATCACATTTGTTTTTGTCTCTTTTACGTTGTCGAGAAAAAAAATCATCTTTACTGGTATTGTTGGAAAATTATTTTTAAGCAAAATGTTTATTTTTAGTTTAAATCAAGGTGAACTCCACCCAAATAGATAAAAGATTAGAGCGAATCGAATAGGCATATTTTGAAGAACCTGTGAGATTTCTAGAAATATTAGTTCCGAAAAACTTTGATTTCTGCATCTAGTCAGTATTTTACGAACTTAAATAGATAAATGAGTGTTATTTTTTTATTCTTCTGTAGTGTTGTATGCTTTGCCATGCAGTAGAAACATAGTTATGTATAAAAGGAAGATTAAACAATAAAACGTTCGGCTCATCAGTCAATGTATATGTTCGTATTGGGTGTGAGTTTTCTCTTAAATCTAACAGATACTAACATCATATCCATGCCCAGATCGACACTTATACCTACATCCACACCCACACCATAGTCCAGTCATAACTCAAATAGATTTCAAATGCTCATCAATATCTTTTCAATGGGTTTTCAAATGGCGCACTGACAAATAGATTAATGCACTCAACATTTTCGCACTACATTACGATTTCTACATTTTTGCAAAATCATGAATCTTAGTCAAAAAAAAAATTCTTCATGGAGATTTCTACTTTTTTACGTCTACTTCATTTAGGCAAAACAAGTAAAGTTAATTCAGTTGAGAAGACGACCATTTGAAAAAGACATATTATTCTGTGCGCAAAAGACTGTGCAGTTGTTTTTTGCCAAAGACGGTTTCCCAAAATCCTTCAGTGATCCTTCAGAATATGCCTATTCGATTGCTCACTATGTTGTGAAATTCACATATGTTTTCGAAGAAAATAGTGAGTGTGAGTTTTAAGTGAAAATTTTCCGGCTCCCCACCCTATTACAGACATTAGCAACCGAAAAACACAATTCTTCTTTTGAATGCAGTAATAGAAAAAAATCATTGCACAAAATAAAAAGAAACTTTGACTATTCTGGCATAAACCAGAGTATTGTGGAAAAATTGAAATTAATAAAATTCGTATGCTAATATTTCTAGTAGTTTAATTTTGGATTTTTGCCCATATAAAAATATATATTTGAGACGTCAAGGTTAATGAGAAATGATCAATTGATAAAGTGGTTGATTTGAAAACAAAACTCAGTACCAGTGTTCTGACTTGATCGGGATAGATAATAGTTCGTTGACAATTGTTGCAGATAAAATGTATATTTGCCGGTTGAATCAATGATTGCAATTAAATTTAAAAAAAGAACGCGAAAAAACTACAAAATATAAAAATAATGAACGAGTAGGAACAAAAATAGAGCACCTTTAAAGAAAGCAAAAAAATTCTTTTTAAGATGCCAGAAGAAATAAAACAGATTATATTTCAGTCGATCGATGATGTTGAAATAAACTGTAATATGCTACAGTTTTTTCACTTTATATATTTTGTATCAATATAATCAGGCTAAAGAAGCTACGTGAGTTTCACATTTTATCTCTATAGGGACTGCGCTAACAAGCTTTTTCACCTACTTCGGTGGTTTTGGCTTGATTTGAACCGAAAACAGGCATTTTGCCTTAGAGTAATTAACCTTCCCAATTTTCCTACAGTATCAGCCAAGACAATTTGTCCGGAGAAAGAAAAGAAAAGACAAAGAAAGTGATGTGTACTTTCACAACTGGTGATATGATAAATGAAACGTTGTAAAATATTTAGCTTCATCATGTGGCATAAAAAAACTAGATAGGTTCTCAAAAATGGTTCATCAGTGATCCAAGGCACAAGGAGAATATGTCCGCCATAACGGCTTTTTTTTTTTACTAAAGTTGATTTAACATCGTTTTTATACTGAATCATAAGAATATAACTTTAGAAGCTGCCGATATCGTTCAAATCGCTGGTTAACTACAGTTCTGTTGCTATTTGTTTTTGTATTTCAGCACATGAATATTTTTAAAATCTTAGAAAAATATTAGATTTCAGTCAAAATCATAGCTTCTGCTTAGTTGTGAAAACACTCAAGTCGCCTGTAACATCCACGTCGACTATTTTTGCTTAGCTACGAAGTTTGACTATTTGTTAAAGATGGCGCCACAAAAATAGTCACTAGTTAGATGAGAACAATAGGAAAAGTGTGACGCCATCTGACATAATATGCTATAGCACATTAGAATCAACCTCTATGAGTTGAAACTGATCTCTTCAAAATTCAAAAATATTGATTAAACGGACAAATTATAGAAAACTTGATGGAAAAAAAGAAGTTAAAGATTCGAACCGGCAGTTTTGATGAAAAACTGACGGCACGTGTGTCAAGTAGAGTAAAGCGAAAAATACTTAAACAATTTGAAAAAAATGCATTTTTTGATAAAAACGATATTCATTTAATTTTTCAAATTTTCCAACCTAAAAAGGATGTCCATAAACGTTAAAAACAATATTTTTCTGATCAGCAGCAGCTCAAACTCTATCAAACCATATGTGAAGATTGTGAAAAAACATTCAACTAGTATTTTGAATTAAGAATACCTTACGTATATGATACCGTTGGTATTCTAGAATCCATATGGATCCGCAGCTGGATTTTTTCACTTTTAGATCCATTCATGGTTTCTATTAACAATATTATGTCCTTACTGAAGACGAGAGATCATAAAACAGAAATTATTCGAAAGAATGAATATTTATGTAGTACTAGACGAAAAACTGTAAAGCAGACTCGCTTGAACCTCACGACAGCAATGAAGGTTTCAATCAGTTTTGATGCTTTCTAAATTGAATCAACGCAGACATTACACTTATAGTGATGCATCCAATGTGCTCGCTTTTATCCTTAACGTTAAGATAGTCAGCGAGATATAGTTTGACAATAGCCATCTATTGTTAAACCAGTGATTTGTAGACACATGAGAGTTCTTTCAGTAAAATAAAACTTCCGTTTAATATTAAAAGAATAGAAAAACCAATCTGTATAGAAGACAATGTTCAAACCAGAGATGTCCATCGCGGCGCGGGAGATTTTTTAACAATACAGTCGCGGCGGCGGCACCTTATTTCTAGAAGACATTGCAAAATTACATGAATTTGCACAAAAATTTAGTGTCCACAAACGTAACACTCTAAGACTCAATGAATCTCATTGATTAGTGACAAGAATTGTATTTCAAAACACTCACAACAATGAAATTCGAAACTTTTTTTCGAGTATCATCACGGCAGCGGTAAATTTCGAGCCGCGATGGACATCTCTGGTTCAAACGTGATCATCACATAAAAACAAACCTAGCTTAACTTAAACATTTTGTATAAGCTCAACAATTATCATTGATTGATTTCAAATATTTTTCTTATAGATATCTGGAACTGAAAACAATAATTATTGTGAAAGAAACGAAAATTCACAAAAATATAATAAATTGACTTGAAAAACAATTAAATATAGTTTGTCAAGAGTCTTATCTATTCATTATCTTCGATATTTATGTTCAACAAATATTGATCATTATGATCATCGACATAATTTGTTGTTATTTGTCTCAAAGTTTCTTGTTTATTAATCCAATACCATTTTGTAGATTTTCCTTCTTCTAATAGTCGATCTTCTTCATTCATTTGTTCACCTTTTGTCATAACATAAACAAAATATTCCATCGATTCATTTCCATCGGAAACGGAATGTACTTGAATTGACCATTGATATTTTTGTTTCGCTAAAAATGGTCGACGAAAATGAGGTTGTTGAAATGAGATTGAAATAAATCGACCAGAATCAGATCTTAAACATTGACTAATTTGTGTTAATATTAAATCAATTTTTTCTTTCAATTCTTCTGATGGATTCCAAAGACGATGTTCATGTCCAACAAAAAATACATCCAATGTACCTTTTTCAATAATTGTATCAAAATAATCTGAACGTAAAGGCATTGCTCGAATATCTACAGCAAACCAATCAATTAAACATGGATTTTTTTTCATTGATCGTCGTTTATCAAGAATAGCAAATGAATAATCAACATTTAAAATCAAATGACAATAATGACGATTATACATTTCTTCAGCAAGTGACGATGAACCACATCCAAGATGAAGTAAAATAAATGAAGGTGAAGATTTTAAATAAAGATCTAATACAGGATATAGACGTGAACAATTACCAAACCATTCAAATGAATCTTCTGTTAAAAATCGTTTATTCCAGTATGATTGTTTTGATAAATCGTCCATCTAAAAGAAAGATTTTTATATTTTTCAAAGAAAACAAAAGAAAACATTGACAATTTAAAAAGCTGTTGGTGGTACAACAAGGCTATAAACTCTTCCTGAATGAAAAGTCGGTAATAGTTTCCAGTTATAAAATAAATAAAGTAAAACTAAACGTAAAACTATGTAGACAAAAATTAAACAACCAATCGTAGGTACAAGTATCGTGCTACAAAATGATTCTGACAATTTATTATTTGATAAAAAATTTATGTCAATAAGAAGCCATAAAAAAATAAACCAATGTGATAGAATAAAAGTAATACTATTTTTCAATCCACAATTTTCAAGAAAAAATACGATAATAAATCCAAGAAGAAGAAGAAATCCTCCAATATTCGAAGATTTTGAATAATCGTTATTCCTATAAATAAGACCAATAGTAATTGACAGACAACTTTCATAAAAAAGAATAGATGCCCATATAGCTAAACCATTTTGATATAGCAATCTTGCTAACCAAACATCAAGAAAGCTTGAAAAATATCGAAAAAAAAAACGAATGTTTATATTTAATGTCATCATCAAATAAAAACAAAAAACATACTATTTATCTCTGAAATAATCTCTCATATTATCTTGTAAAGCATTATGAACAATAACAAAAACAATGATGACATTAAATAATGTGCCAATATAACGAAACATTGAAGCCTAATTTAAATAAATATAAAAAATAAACATAAAAGAATTTCCTTTTTGTTTTCTTACTGAAACATCATATGTATTATTTGCGCTAGCTATTAATTGTGGTACATAGAGAAGAAGAGCAGATGCTGTATAGAAAAAACACCATCTATTCATAGCACATGGATATTGATAGAAATAATAGCCTAATGAAGTTCGACGAAAGATACAGATAAATGAATAGATTATCCACATAGCCTAGATATATGTTTCAATGTAAAGTAATAAAATTTCTTTTTTTTTTCACTTTATTTACCTGCCAAATGAAAACAAGATACCAAATACAAGAAATACTTGTAGATGATGCAGTTAAATCGGTTGGATATTGATTGAGAGATGGTACATGAATATAAGTATTAGTGTCTGTTTATATAAAAACAATGTTTTTAACTGAATAAATCCAAATACATAACACTAACACGAAGTATAGAACAAGTCTATTGAAATACGTTGATAAACTGCGATTACAAAGCATATAGTAGATGTAATCATATATGCAATATGAATCCAATCATGTTCATAGGTATTAATAGATGGTCTTGGATCATTTTCCACAATAGCTACTTCCATTAAAATAAAATTAATTCTCAAAGATAAATAGAAAAATTGTAAAATATACGAAAAAATAAATTTTTGTCTGATTCATTATTCATTGGTCATCATAATCATGACCAATAGGATAGAGAAACTACATGATGTCAGCGCTTTCTATCGCATCTCTCTAATTTCTTCGTGAAAATTAGAGAAAAGAAATTCAACGAGATGATAATACCTGAAAATGAGAATTTAAGCTTTTCTTCTGTGTTTATGATTTTACCACCCATAGGTAGCGTACTATGCCTTAATAGCCTGCCCCCCCCCTCCCCAACCCTCAAAAACAAATACTAAACCCAGTACATTTAGATCACATGGAGTTTTCAGAGTATGTGACTCTCATTTTATAGATTTAGTATTTTTTTAATTTGAAAGATCATATCAAACTGTAGTGTTGTCAGAGCCTTTCTTTTTAATAAAATGATTACTTTTTTTATACGCAGAAAATGGATGATAATGTCAATACAGTGAAAAACTGTCCAATAATGTGTACTTTAGCTTCAAATGTTTTGTCTAACAAATAAAAGCTATTGACTACAATGAAGTTCCTTCGAGAATTCTGAGATGCACAATCAGAAAAAGCATGTTTTTCAAGTAGATGATGACAGAAATCATCGAAAATTTTTGAAGAAAACGAGGTGCCAAAGAAAAAACTCATGCCATTTATGAAAGATTAAATAGCAGACGATGTTTCCTTGCTTTTAGTCTTAACTTCGATCATTATGACGGTAATGAGCTTTTTCTGAGGAGGAGAGGCGGCTTAAGGATATCTCTTCCCATCTTTTTTTGACCAGAAACTCGATTTGGAGCTAGACATAAGCTTTGATAGCTTTAAGTTCCATGTGCAATTAGAAACATCGTTTAACTCTAAACAAGTTACTGTCATAGAGTTACTAAATTTAACAATGTTTTTTTTTTCATAAAAATCATATTGAAATTATTTTCTTTTACTTAGTGTCACGCCAAACACTAGTTTTCCCAATCCTGGCTACTTACGACCTTCCTCTAACTTTAATCATTCAAGCTAAAATTTTCATCACAAGTACTTAAAAGCCCAGATTTGGCTTCGAATCTTTATGTATATCTTTGATAAAAAAAAACAGAAAAGTAGATTTTCGAAATCTTTAAGAAGGTAATTAAGTTAAAGATTTGAATGAATAGTATGACATGAAAAAACGAAATTAATAATAACTTATTAGAACAATTAATTCTTTCATTAACAAATGATATTAAATTTTGATGTTTTTAAACTTTCTTCAATCAATACTTTAATTGGAAATATAAAATATTAATCAATATCAAACATTATCACGAGGTTTTTTTCTCAATTGTTTTAGTAAATGGATATTTCCATTTCGGATATCAATTATTTGCTGAATAAATCTTTTCTTTTCTAAGCCTTATAATTAAATTTATGTTACCATTTAGTAAAATAAAAACTAAGCTCTTGTTTTTATATAAATTGCCAATACATTCTAATATTTTATCAAACTATTCCATCGCTATGCTTCAATTTATCGTTCTTTTCGCTCTCGTTCGTTTTTCATTTACTTATACTCTAATTCAACCACGTCAGAGTGTTGGTATTAATGAAGTTGTTGCACTGATAAGTTCCGAAAATTGTCAATTCTATTTATCACTGAATACACATTTTCAATGTGGAGTCAAGTCTCACCTCACCCAATATTCATACAAATATTGCCAACGACTTCTTGATATTCGTAATTTATTTGAAAATACCAAATACCAAGATAATGTTCGTCAGTGTTTACAACAAAAACTTCTTACTAAAATACAACAAGTTGGCGAAATGACAATCACATGTGATAGTTTTAAACAGATAGATCTTGATTCACATCAAAGTTGTTTAGCTGTTTCATTCAAAGAACTTTCAGTCAATGATGTCAAACAATTCATTGCCAGTTTCAAAGATACGACAGTAAATTATGCTCAACTCTGTAAATTGGCTAACAGTTTTGCAGGTCATTGGAGTAAGTATTGTGATAATTTATTTTGGAAATATAAATTATTTCGATGTTAGGCCAAGTGGTCAATGGAGATTTGATGATGTTTCTTAAACGACAACTCAAAGAAATATTTACAGATGGTGATACTTCTACATGTATTATCAAAGAGAAAGACATAATTGATGAAATTGATGAGATTGTTTCTGAAATTGGTACAGTATTAGATAAAGTAAAAAGTGTCAAAGAAGATATTAGCTTAATTATTGAAAAATCAAAAGCTATACGTGATGATTTCAAAACCATTCGACAAATTGTTAAGCAAATGAATAATGGTACCGTATCAAACATAGACGGATTAAAGGCAATACTTGCTAAAACAAAGACAATAGTTGCTAATTCAAAAGTAATCATTGAAACAATAAAAAATCTTGGTAAAGACAAGACAAATACTGGTGTTGATCAAAATCAGACTGAAAAACCAACTACAGAACTTGGACAACTAGGTACGAATCAATGTTAGATTTAAAGAACGAAATTAAAAAACAAAAAATTAATATATCTATTTTAGAAAACGCACAAAATGCATTGGCACTCATGCAAATCTCTCAAGTTATTAGTCAATTCAATGGATTAAAAGAAGAAGTTTATAATGTCATTGATAATGTCAATTCGATTGTTGATATCGTTGATGAAATTCGAGATGGAAAGAAGAATGTTGCCGATGGTATATCCGATATTATTGGTCAGATTGAACAAGGAATCGATAATATTTATTCCATTATTGATACATCATATACACTTAAAGACACAGTTTTTGATTTAGTCGAATCTATTCATGGATCCATGGGAGGAATTGTAGATGAACTTGTTGACAATGGTAAAGAAACAGTCGATGAAATAGTCGGTGGTGTTACTGGTTCAATTGGAGGAGGTCTCAATGGTATTGGAAAATAAAACAATACTGAACAAGATCGAAAACAGAAAAAAAACACAACTTCAATGATATTGTTGTTTGGTTTTTTTTTTATGAGCGATTAATAAAATAAATGCAGAAGAGTTAATCTCTAATGAAATTATTCTTGATTGGTAAAAATTCGTTATGAAAGTCATTGCCAAAGTTTCGATTTATAACTTTTCCATGTGACAACACTGACCTATATCAATACTTTAGTAATTGTGAAAGAAAAAAAAATATAAGTACATGTTTTATTAATAATGTAAGAGTGAAATTGATGTGTTCGTTGTAAACAGGAGTGTGTTTCGTGGAGAGCAGACTTGGAACTTGTAGATTTTTTTTTTTCGATCGGAGCGATCGATTGAAAGTTTTAGTTTAAGCAGTAAAAACTGATCTGTTTAATATATCAACCATCCAACTAAGTAGTTTGTTCGAGAGACAATTTATTATTTCAGTTCTGCAAACAACATACAATCTAAAATTTATATAATTCTTGAAGTTTCCAACAGTAACAAAATCTATTTTAGTCGGTCACGCTTCATGTACACATTAACATTAAAAACGAGCAAAGCACTCTATTAACATGTTTCATATAATAGTTCACACCAACTAATATTGAACAACATATATATTTTGCCGTGGCTGATTTTTTTTCAATAAAGATATAATTTCTTGACAAGAATTGATACATTTCGTGTTTTCTTGTTTGAAGTCATTACTTAACACTTTTAAAAAGCATCTCAATTTATGAAAGGATACTACTGCTGACAAGAAGATAAGGCGGGCTACAAAGTACGCTTTTTATACTAAACTTTATCTTTCCAGATTTCTTAATGCCTAGACTAGATATATTCTGTGTTGCATATGACTATCAGTAAATATAACCTTCATAACAGAATGAAATATTTTCTCATATTGTCGTTATGAAAAAATGAACTGAAAACTACCAGCCTCTAGGAGTTTCTGTCAGTTTGTTAATATTAGTTCAAGAAAAGTAAGCTCGAAATTTCGAGGTAGAAAATCTTTAGTTAGGATCGAATTTGACTACTAATGACTGGCTAGCTTTTGATAGACATAGTTACTTCATGACGCATGATTCAAGGCTGTCATTGCAAGATGAGAAAGTGTGAATTGAAAATTTACAGCTGAGATTTTGATAACGACTAAAAATTTGTCAATTGAAGACATTCATGCTCATATCCTCTAATAGTTAAGACCATATAGATCGATAAAAACAAGCAAAATAGACTACAAAGTTAATTTATATATATTTCACATTAACTTCTCTATTGAAGAATGTTTTCTTTTATTTGCTGACTTTTTGAAAACAACTATCTTCAACCAGAACAACAGAAGTTCTTGATGAATTATTGCAAAGAATATCATTACTTTATGAAGATTATTCCATAATTTTTACATCAGTTGGTTCCATAGAGATTGATAAAGATGCCAATAAAATCGGATTGGAAAACTTTCTAAGCCACGCTGAGAAAATCACCAACAAAATAAATGAACTGTTCTCTTTTTTTTCTCTCTAGAAGTTAACTCAATTTATTGAATATACTTGTGAATAGAGCTCTATAAAACTTTGTCATTTCACGGTTGAAAAGTTTGTCTTTTTACAGTATAAAATATAGTGTCATTAGAAAAAAAACCACTTCCATTTATACGGAATACATCAATTAATTTTTTTTCAAATTACTCATTAAAAATATGTCATTCTTCTACTATCATTATAATATGACAAAAAAATCTTTCTATTTCATTACTCTTTAAAAGAAATATTCGAACATTACATACATAATACATGATTCATGATGACATTTTTTTTTATAATTTTAGTTTTCATCGTAATGGATGCTGCGGGCAAAGTACAGTTATTTCGAGTATTATTTATCTATGGCCTATAAAGAAAGATTTTTAAAAAGGTATGTAAATACAAAACAAAAACGACTATGACGAAGAACGCAATATCGATAACATTATCTTGTCATTTCAAGACGATTTATATAAAACTGAAAAGATCCGTTATTTCAAATGAAATAAATCTGTAATATCGTTAAAATCACATCGTTAATATGCGACTAGTCTCTATTACAATTGACTAAAAGAGAGCATCATTAAATACATTACTATTCAAAATAAAGATGACATTCTTTTTTTTGTGTAATTAATGCTATAAAATTAATCATTGTTATTATTTTTAGTAGTGTTTGTCTATGATTTGCTAGGATGAATGTTAATCAAATAAAATTTCTATTCATGAAGTATCAGTAATGATTACACAATACGCATAACATATAACAATAATATCTGCTAATTATATTTAAAATAAAGTGCTTCTGGAAATCTGTGATGCATTAAGTTTTATTTCTAATTTCGACAAAAGAAGTGTCACCAAGCATGGAAATCAATATTTAAAGAAATATATTTTAAAATCAACTTTTATTCATGTCGAACAATCTTAACTAACTATTTACGTATCAAAACAATTTCATTATTGTTTACAATAAATTACAAAGCCTAAAACTTTTCGATTCTACAATTAATCAGTTTGTCTTAACAATGAAAATAGAGTTAAGCATAAGATCAAGACAAATGTTTTCGCTTAGATCAATTTATCTAGCGTAACGGTTCGAACAAAAAACTTGTTAGCGCAATTTCTGTTGAATTAAAATGTTAATTTTTGCTTAATTTTCGACAAATGTAATAAGGTAGTGGTTCATATATTATAATGAGACACTATTAATTTGCGGTCTCTAATCGTAGATTAACAACGTCTGTTACGGTTTGTGATATTTCTATGATTGTATCTGTCACATTCTACGATGAAAACGAGACGAAGCTACGAATGTCTCTCACGCCTATGATATGTCGTTACTAAGGATTTTTATCACATCTGTGGTGAACCACTTCTCACGTGTGTAGAACTCAGGGCGAGGGACAAATTTCTACTCCCATATCTCAATATTCCTTTTAGATCGTGATTTACAAACTCTATTCCAATTGTTAATGACATAAATTGGTTGTTTCAAGGTGAAAAGCTATTGAATTTGCGATGAACTGAACACACTCAATCATTTTATCGGTTATGTAATCAAGCATAGATGATGAAGTCTTACAGAATGTATTAAGTAATAATGATGAATAGCATACTGTCATGGTATGAAAGAAATTCATCTACACTATCTTATGAATATGTTGAAAAAAAAAATTGTTCAACAATCATTAAGTTTAGATCATATTCATGAAGCGTATAAAGTTATATAACAAAGAGAAAAGGATTTTAAAATAGGGAAAGCTTTTATTTTCACCTTTATACTGTGAGTGGACATTTTACTTTGGACGTTGTTCTTTCGTTCTGTACGCCTTCTACACACAAGAAATGGGTGAGAGTATTTGCATTATAAAAGCCAAAAGAAAAAAAAACGAGAAAAAATTTATATATGGTTATTTTATACTTGCTGTCATCGGACCACTTCTACGCAATAAAACTTGTTATAATCAAAAATTATTTTATTTCACCACCAAGAGTTACCTAATGAATGATGCATGCATAGAAATATGGTGCTATGTCTTTCACAACTTCTTCAAGTGTAATGATGAATAATACAAAAAATAAAATTCGATCGAATAATCAAAACATTTATTGTTTGTGAATAATTTTCTTTACATTGGCCTCGATTACTAACATCGTTCATCATTTTGTGAATGCGAATTGAATAAATCAAGACATGAAGTATAAACTACTTATATAAAAAAAAAAACGAGCAAAATTCAAAGACAATTTGTTCAAATTTTTTGGTCAATTTAATTTCTATTAAAATTAAATTTTCTTCAGATATTAATTGTTTAGTAGTGTAAGGATAACTGATAATGAATACAACTCGATTAATGCTTGATAATGCCTATAATTTATTCATTCCAATATCAGACAATTGTATTAAATTAAAAAACAATCAATGCAATACATTTCTTCTATATTTCGGTTTGCCTAATTCTCGTATAACAACAATTAATACTGATGATATATTAATATCAACATCAGAATCCAAAATTGAATTCGATTCTAATAAATTGATTGTTTCTGATATGTAAGATGATAATAATCATTTTTAACGAAATTAATCTTAGTATTATACTTTAGAAACAAGAATATATCAAATGAAATAGTTTATGAAACATTTTTTACTCAAATTTTACATAAGTTCGCTTTCTTGTATTTCGTCAATGAGATTTTAATCTTTAACGTTAATATCCTTTAGGTTTTCAATATTAGATACATTACCTTTTGAAGAACTTCAATCAGAACTTTTTCTTGAAACTTGCGAAGAATATTTTTCAATTGTGGGTCAGTTTTCTAGTATTTCAACATATTGATATATGTGTGTTTTTTTTTTCAAATTCTAAGGTAAATTTAATAGTCCTATATTTGCTCCATTGAAAGCAGATGTCAATGGTAATATTAATGTAAGTTTATCCTTGATATTGTAATATTTTTATTTATTTATTGCAAACTCAAGAAATTGCGACGGAAAATGAATGAAAATATGATAAAATTTCAAACATTATATTCGATTCTTAACGATGAAATCGAAGCACGAACAACTAATGCCAGAAATTCAGCAACAGATGCTTTACTTTGGCTAAAACGGTATTGTATTATATTGCTTTTTTTTATTGAAAAATATCGAAATTAATTTTGTTTTCAGAACTTTTGAATTTGTATCAAGTTTTCTACATGAATTTAGTATTGGTGATAAAACTCTGGCAGATGCTGTAGGCAAAGCTTATGAAAAATCATTAAGAAAATATCATGGAATGTTAGCTAGAAGTGTTTTCTCGGCAAGTGGAATAGTATCTTAACAATATTGAATTTATTAGATTGATTATATATGTTTTAGTTCGCTCTTCGTGCAGTACCTAATAATACAGAGTTTCTCCGTTCACTTGCTATCAATTCAAAGAATGCTTCTGAAACTCTCTTTCAACAACAAGTGATTATCTTTTATTTTAGTTTATTTAACGCGATACTTTTATTATTTAAGGTACTCAAAGAAATGCTCGGTCATTCTTCAAGTATGTCTTCAGTATTGCGAAAGATTACATTATTCTATTCGAAACATGGACTTGAATCGACAACAATTGCAACTTAATTTTTTCTCTATTTTTATAGTGAAATAATCAAAACAAGTTTTTCATACTTTTAATCTAGTTGTACAGTTTTTTTTATCATACAGTGAGATGAAAACTAGTGTAGTCAAATGAATGTCATTTTCGTATATTAATTTTTTTAACACAATGTTGTTTTAGTTGTGCGACATCTGTCATTTAATAAACTAGATTATTTGATGATAAAATAATTTAAATTTATTCTTATAATTATTTTACAAAACATTTTCTCTATCGATTATTGGCATTAAGGTTAATATAATAGAGTACAATTGAGATACATAAATGGCGTTTTGTCTTTGTATGAATTGACCAATCGATTTGTTCTTTTGTGTTTAATTGTCATAAGTATCTCATTTAGTCAATTCAGTGTTTGAAACTTTCTTTTTGTCTATGTAAAGTATTTGTTGATTTTGAAATGACTTTACGAACTCCGATGAAGAAAATACAGTTTGGTTCGCGAGATTTACTTGGTAATGGTGGTGGCTGTCCTGTTGAGGTGAATTATTCTCTATTTTCATAAAGAAGTCATTGTTTTATTATTTTTCTTAAGGTCTTCTGTCGTTTGCGACCACCTAAAGATCATAATAATGATCAAGAAATAGATAATTCTTCTTCATCTGTTAAAATTTCAAGTTCAACAGAACTTACTCTTTACTCGTCTGAGGTAAATCATTCGATATTCATCATCAATTACTATTTATCTTTATTTTAGAATGCTAAAAATGGTCAAATTCGAGAAGTAACTATTTTTTGGTTAACATTTTATTGTCTATTGAAATATTATTTGCTTAGTCTCATTATGAATTCACTCATATTCTTACTGATGATGTTTCCCAATCAGCTGCTTTTAAAGAATTGGCCATACCTCTTCTTGATGATTTTATTCAAGGAAAAAACAGTACGTGTTTCTTATTTTTTTTTTTTCTAAAATAAATCTGTTCGATATTAAATCTAGGTGTATTATTTACATATGGTATAACGGGTTCTGGAAAAACTTATACAATGATGGGACCATTGAATAATCCTGGTTTAATTCCACGTTCATTTGATGTTATTTTTAATTCAATTGGGTCATATCTTGGAAAGAAATATGTTTGTTTTATTTGACATGTTATTTTTGTATTTCTTAAATTCAATTTTTTTTGTCAGCTTCTTCGTTCTGATCGTCAGAATGGTTATGAAATTCAAAATGAAGCTGAAATTTTACTTGAACGACAACGAAAAGAAATTCCAATAACGAAACCGAATAATAATCAACGTGCAAAGTTAGTTTCTTAAAAGTGAAAAGCTATTACTACACTACATGCGAGATTATAGTGTGAAATACGATATGGTTGCTGTTATTAATCATAGAAAGATTGCTATACTCTATCGATTTTGTGAGATATTTCTTCACCATCCTTTTAATTCTCTAAAAATGCAATAAAAAAAAAATGTTCTTACATTACAATGAGACACTGTTGATATACGGTCAATGCTCATTTATCAAAAATGCCTGTCAGGATGTGGATGCAGAAATTCTTCAAAAATTTTGTCTACCGTTAAAATAAAATAAATAATTTTTTTCAATCTATCTACTAAAAGAACCAAGTGAGAAATAACGTCATTAAAAAATAAATTAGTTTCATTAATCATCAAGTGATACTGATAGTCTTGATACTTGATCGTTCGACAAGCGAATCAATGCTTAAAAGTATTCGCGTTAGATACTGTTCACTTTTCTTATAAAATCGTACTAGTTCTTTCAAATGGTGGTGATACGACGAAGGATATTAGCAGGATAACGAGGTCTTTTTAATTTGTTACTTAGTCTCGGATGGTTCAGTCGACGTTTTTAGTACACACTTTATTACGTGTATTAGGAACAACGGAAAGTTTAAACAAAACAGACCTGCAGACCGACAAAATATTCTAATACTACTCATATTTGGAGGACATAAAAAAAAGTAAAAGAAAACGTAATATTGAACATATTCATATTGAGGGAGAGATCTTTTTAATAGTATAATGAAATTAAACAAACATTAGTTGGATTGTTCTCTATTGAGGAATCAATTATTTTATATAGACATGAAATTTACATGCTGATGGCTACAAAACAAAGAAAACTTTATTAACTAATTTTCTACATTAAAAAGTTTTCATATAGAAAATAATTCTCCTAGAAGTTTCTGAAACTCGAAAAAATTTTTCAATACACACGTGCGTGTGGACACACAAGGCTACATTCATCAGATCTGTAGAAAATCTAAGACTAAGTTTTCATCTGTATTTTCAACACTTATATCGTGTTTCACGAAAAAAAAAACATTGTTTTTTTTTTTTTAGAGTTTTTGAACCAGCGAATACTCGTACATTAGATATGACATCGATATGGAATGCACAATTAAATGAAAACTGTTCATATTTTGTTTTTGTTACATTTGTTGAAATTTATAATAATTATATATATGATTTATTTGATGATGATATTCTCAATAAGTAAGAATATTAATATGAAAATAAAAAAAAAAAAAAAAAAAATTAATTTAAATTTTGATAGAGCACCACAATCGAAACAATTACGTGAAGATAATCGTGGACGACCTTATATAAAAGATGTTAAAGAAATTGAAGTACGTTCAAGTGAAGAAGCTATTGAATTACTTAATATGGGTTTAAAACGTCGTCGTATTGCACATACACAATTAAATACAGAATCAAGTCGATCACATAGTGTTCTTTCAATGCGTCTTGTTCAATTTTATAATGATATTCCATTGACATCACTTGTATGTGTTTCAGATTTTTTGTTCATTTTATTTTTATCTATTTTTGTTAAATTTTTATCTAATAGACAAAAGATGATCTTACAATAAGTACAATTCATTTGGTTGATTTAGCCGGAAGTGAACGTGTCAATCGAGCAAAGACTGTTGGTGAACGCGTGAAAGAAGCGAGTAAGACAATTTTCTAAAAATTCTTTTTTTTCTTTTTTATGTTTGATTCTCGTTCAATATTATTCAGGTAATATTAATTCATCGTTAATGGTTCTTCGACAATGTTTTGAAGTTTTAAGAGAAAATCAAGCACAAGGTACAAGCAAGGTAAAATATTTATTCAAATTACTTTTTTTCTTTTTTTTTTACAAATGAAATATATTAATTGATTATTTAGATGGTACCATATCGTGAATCAAAATTAACATCATTTTTTAAGAGTTATTTTGATGGTGAAGGTCGTATACGAATGATTCTTTGTGTCAATCCAACTGCTGATGGATATGAAGAAATTCAAGTAAATTTATTCTTTCATAATTTTATTTCTTTTTTAATATAAAACATTTAAATTTTTACTTATAGCATGCACTTAAATTTGGTGAATTAACCAAAGATGTTATGGTACCACGTGCTTTGCCTCCTCCTCCACCACCACCTCCAGTTCCACCTAAAGTAATTCGTGGTCATGCTATTTTACGTGAAGTCGATAATCAACAACAACAATCTGTACCATTTCTCTTTACTGAATTCAAGTGAGTTATGTTGCATACTAAAACGTTTCTCATTTGTCTCGAATTTTCTGGATATGATAAGTAGTTAGATTCTGTTCTATGTGATACTTCGAGATTTTCGAATGAATTCTTTATATTGAAAAGTGTAATAGGTATAAAATGTTGAATCATACTGAAAGAGACAACTAATATAAGTATTAGTTGTATTTGATTGGTCAACGAGTTTAATAAATCATTCATTTGCACTAGAAAAAAATAGTGTACTTTAAATTGAAAAGTATGTTAAAGTACAAAAATAATCGAAAGTATGAAGAAGTAATTTGAAGTACGATATTCTCTGTAGGATCGTATATATTTAGTTTTTTATCTTGTTTTTAAAACAGATCATTGAAATATTTCTATAGTGCCATAATTGGTAATACTTTTTCTCTCATAAAGATTGAGTCTTTTAAAAATGTATATCATTTGCAAGTTGGCTGGTCGACTGAGGCCAGTAGGCACTTAGTTTTTTATATAATATTATTGATCTATCCCTTACGTACAATAGAAGATCCCCGAAGGAACAATGCACCGGATGTAATGCAAGACACGCCCTTTCATTGAAATAACTAATTTTTCAACACAATTGGAATGTTAGTTAGTATGATTACATTCAAAAAAAAGCTTATTTTTCAGGCTTTTGAGCTGGAAGTCTTAAAAGATTGAGACCAAAATTACTTCTGGAGTTTTAAAGTCGTTTTGCTTTTCTGAAAAACTATCTTAACTAAAAATTATGGAAATAAATAGGACACAATAGAAGATTCGGAGTCTTCTGTTGCACGAAAAAAAGAGAGAGAACGGTTAGCAGATTTGAAGTACAGTGTTTCCTCTTAGCGCCTATAGCTGCGATTCTGAGAAACTCGAAAAAATTGTTTTAATTATCATATATACATCTTTTTGTGCTACTTGTTAATGAGAATGTCTTTCAGATATTTTTTGAAGATTATGAAACTAGAAAGTAATGTATATGTATTTATTATCTAATATATGAAGAATAAACTTTCTACGTACTGTGTAAAAGTAAAAATACTTGACTGTTTTACTGATGTATCATCTCTAAGTCAATATATACTACCGGAGTATATTTTTGAATAATGGCTATATGTATTGATAGCATATAGTACATAAACTGCATCAAAAGAGAGTCATAGTTTCAAAGAGATAGCGTTTACCCTCAGCTAGGTACTTATCCTCGGCCTAATTCATTCTATCTTATGATTAAATTTAAAGCGAGATGTTATAGAAAAGTTCCATTATAGAATTCTAAAACTCACATCGAAACGTTTGTTTCTTACAGTCAGATCATTTCTTTCTGAACAGAATTTATATTAGGCAAAAGTTAAACTTGTTATTTTTTTTCTGTCTAGTGCACAAGCTTTAATTGCACAATTTCCCCCACTTGAATATTCTCTATTGGATGGTGTTGGTGCTGATGAAGCTATGATAAATCTTGAAGAACATCTTCGACGACGTATTGATGAACGACATCGACTTAATATGGTAAAAATTGATCGTTGTTTTTTTTATTTATTTTTTCGTTAATCTGACATTATTTATAGTTAATTCATGAACAACATGATTATTTACATAAATTTACTCTTGAATTAACGTCTGATTATGATTCAACGATATCTGATCATGACGAATTAATTAAAGAAAATGAACAACAAAGTAAAACAATTCGTCATTTACAAACACGTATTAAATTATTAGAAAAATCTCAAAATGATTTTTATAAAACAACAAATCAAATGGAACGTGAAAATAAAACATTAAAATCAAAAATTGAAGATCGAAATAATGAAATTAAATCTTTAAAAGCTGAACGACGAAAAGATAAAATTGATTTTGAAAATAAATTAAAAATAAAAATAAACGAACTTGAACAACAATATGTAAAGGATTTATTTCATATTAAAAATAAAAATAGAAAAGAAAATTAAATATTTTTTTGTTTTTTTAGCTTAATGACTTAAAAACTAAAGAAATACAAATGCGTGAAATTGAACGACAACATGATGATAAATTAAATATCATTCGATCAATGGCTGCAACGAATACAAATACTCCAACGAATGAGTAAAAAAAAAAATATTTTTCTTTTTCTAAATAAATATTTTTATTCAATGCATTTACATTAGAAATGTTTATCAAAATCCCTTATCAGCACGTAAACGATGTCAAAGTGAAGAACGTATTCTTCAAGAAGTAATTTAATGGAATATCATAAAACAAAAAAAAAATTATTTTTAAATTTATTTTTACAGGCACCAACACAATCACCTTCGTCTCGTCAGGCTCCAGCTGTACCACCTAAGTAAGTCAATATTGATTTGTTTTTTTTTCTCAGCAATTTATATGTTTTTAGACGATTTCGTACATAAAAAACAAACAAACAAACAAACTCTTCATCAATCAATTTATTTGATTTGTCTTCTTTTTTTTTTTTGTTCTGTACATTTTGACTTTACAAATGCCTAGTTTATGCTTATATATCTCTTGTAGAAAAAGATAATAATTAAATAAATTTATTCTTAATTGTTAATTATTTGATGGTTTGAATTTGTGTTTTTTGAATAAGGAGAAATTTTCTATATGGAAGAACTTCAAACATGGACAAGTCAGCGAAATACGAATTCACTTCGCCATCGGCTTGTATTTAACTGTTCAGAAGATTGTTAAAAATTATTGTATTTAGTTTAAAAAAAATTTTTCAATGGACTGGAAAAGTTACATTAAGAGATTATTTTAATAAATTAGTAAAATCTACGATATTGAACATTTTATGGTGCCACAAAGTGTTTATTGCTGGAATTGACACTGTGTTCAAGTGTCTGGACTGAATTTTTCCAATTGTTCATCTACAATCAACAGCTTCTGAATTTGTTCACATCAGTTTTTCCATTCCGATTTTTCAATTAGAGCAATGATAATCGACAGTTAATGAAGACTGGTTGAGTTTTATAGAAAAAAGATGATAATATCTCTGAAGAAAGGCCTGAGAATTATTCCTGAATCATCAAAAATGACCAGGGGCTTTTGTCTTTTTGTGTCTAGCTTCCTAAATGAGGCCAAAACTTTAGATAATTAGTATAGAGGTAGTCTCGTGATCGAAAGAAAAGATTTGTATAGGTCTCACTTGTGTTAAGTTTCTAGAAGAAGAGACTATTCCGATTAATAAGTTATTGCATAATGGCACTGAGCTCTGCTTGACTGATCAAAAGACGAAAGGGTGAACAAGCACTTTCGATAGTAAGAATAACAGGCGATTCATCCTCGCTATCACACTTAGTTAGAGATGCACCGATAACTGTTTCACCAGTTGTTGGGATGAATCCGTATTTACCTGTCAATATTAGGGGAGAAAAGTTAACGTTAGGGAACCACTTACACTNAGTTAACTTAGACGTGTTTGTCAGATTCAAAAGATGCAAAAGTAGGAAAAACATGCTTTCCAGAGGCTCCAACTATTATAGAAGTGATGCTGTTAAGAGCTGATTTGTTTTTTCACCACAAACTGAATATGGATACCGTTTTCGTTTGTGGCGTTCATCCTACCTCACTTTTACAACATTTTTATTTCTCAAAGGAAAAAAGTAAATGTGGTACTAGCTTGAGTGTAAGAAAAACATTATCACATGCTAATGTTACTTGGGAAATATTACCATATCACAAGCTATTACGTTATTTGAAGGTTTTCAATAAAAAAATTCATACGAAAAACTGATTTATCAACAATATCGAATGAAAGTTCTGAAGAAAATGGAAGCAACAAGAGTAACACTTCATAAGAATGCCTTTGAATGTCTTTTTGATCGTGAGTCAGTATGTTGCTTGGAAAATTCGATGGGAAGTAAAGATGTTGATTATGAATCACCTTTTGATACTTCGATCCGCGAAGAAAAGTTGAGTGAACAGATAACCGCTTTGAATAGTTTTCTCTCTGTTTGTGATAGTAAAAGAAAAGTCAGTGTAACAACATCTTATAAGGATCTATCGCATCGTGTCCGATTAAGATATATTGGTTTAACAAAATATATAATGCGATTAACCATATCTTGAATGGCAGGAAACGATGCACCTATTTTGACGCATGAATCGTTTAAGGCTACGAATAGTGAATAGTCGAGAGTTTATCTAGATAGAAATTTTCGTCAAGTAAGGATGTGTGGTGTGGATCAGTGTGGATGTGTGGTATGGGTGAGTGGGTGTGGATGTGCCGCGTGGGTGAATGTTGCTGTGGATGTGGGGTGTTGATGTGTGGTATGTGTGGTGTGGATGTGTGGTATGGGTGGGTATGTGTGGGTGGGTGTAGGTGTGGGTGTGTGGGTGTAAGTGGGTGTGGTTGTAGGTGTGGGTGTGAGTGGCTGTGGGTGTAGGTGTGGGTGTGAGTGGCTGTGAGTGTAGGTATGAGTGTGAGCGGGTGTAGGTGTGAGTGTGAGTGGGTGTGGGTGTAGGTGTGGGTGAATGACAATAAGAACAACACCAACCCACACCAACACCCACGCCCACACACCCCACACCCACTCACACCCAGACCCACACCCACACCCACAAGTTTTTTATTAAATGAAGTGATGGGCAAAGGTCCAACTCTGAAATGGTCATCAGGTTCCAATTGACTTCAACGTGACGCACAAGCTGTTGCTGATGCACTTTTTCTAGTTAGTTCGAAATCGATCCCTGCCAAAACTTCTCTCTTTTTTATTTTCTAAGGTTTCATCATTTAATCTTCCGTATACTGAATTAGATTTCTTTATTCTTCATATTATGTGTAATCAAATCGATGCTAATAAAGTGGTCGAAGCTGTTCGGAATGAATTTAGTAAAGTTTTATAAAATGAAATGAAAAAAGAAAAATTTAATTTGGTCATGTTAATCATTGAATAGACGAAAAGAATTTTTGGTTGTTTTTGTGTAGAAAGAAATTTCAAGTCAACATTCAAATGAATGCTGAACAATCTTCGATGCATTTTCAATGATGTTAAATCAATCGAATGCAAGTAATCCATCAACTGATGTTCAATCAATGGTTGGACAATTAGAACAAGGCAATTTTTCAAATGATTCAATTAATCATATAGCAAAGAAAATCTTTACTAATAGACAAGCAAGATTAGTTTCGATTGAAAATCTTCAAACAATGCCATTGTTTCTATGATTTAAGAGCATTAAAATATATTGACATTGATCTTTTCATTTTTCATCTTTATCTAGACTTTGTAGAAGTTCCATGGAAAATATGAAAGAAACAAGAAGAAGAGGTCAGTTAAGAAATAAATACTCGTTCGATCTCAAGATTTATTTTCTAGATTTTCTTATTGAAATAAATATTCAAGTCAATAGAAAAGATCTCCAAGGAAATTCGTCTGATGTCTAACCTGTACCATGCATCATCATCAATAGTGAAGATGAGAGAGAAGGAGTTGATGTTGTTGTTTTGGTTGATGAAGGGATTGAATTATTGTCATTGGATAGAATTTTTATTATTGATGGGGATAGTTTTGTGAGTGAAAAAAGTATTTCAGGAAAATTTGATGGAATTACCGGAGTATTAACTGAAGTGATTAACTAAATCATTCAAATTGTTGATAAGAAAGAGCAAAAGAAATTGATGAAGATGAGGAAATATTTATATTTGAGAATTGACAAGATGGAATTGGCTTCATTCGTTCGCCGTGAAACAAATTTCGAGCTGCCTAATATAATTCAACTATTGAAAAAAGGAATGAATTTTATAAAGAAAAAGAATCATACCTCTAATTTCCATTCAGTAGATATTATCATGGCTGGGCAGCTCCGGCTTCGAAGCCGATCCAGCTCCAGCTCGGTTCCTAGGAGCCGGCCTCCCTTATAAACGGAGCCGGAGCCAGACGAAAAATATTGAACCTGGAGCCGGAGCTGGGTATGCAAAATCGGAGGCGGAGTCGGAGCGGAGCTGGAGCCGGGAGAGGTCGGAGCTGCCCAGCTCTGAAAGGAAATATTAAACATTGTTTAACTTGATCATATGTGCATCCAGTTGTTGTTACCATTTGATTGATTATTATCAAATGAACAAGCATTTCATTATTAATACTCGAACAATCAATCATTGTCATCTTTTCAAATAAAATCAATGAAACAATCTTTCCAAATTGACTGACAAAATAAAAATATTATGAACACATTTCTCTCTAAAGATCGAGAAGGAGAGAGACTTATCGATTGTGATCATCAATGTATAATATGCATCTACATAGACTTTTACGTCCGAACAAATGATCAGACGTATGTGTATATGCTGTACCCTCAATCTTTTCAGCGAAATGTCACCCACTGGTTGTGAGAAAGGGTGATGATGATGACATTCCTCGCTTTTGCGTCTCGTTAACATTTTTTCTTTTTCTTCTTCTTATAGGTCGGTGAAGGAAAAACCTTTTCTATATTGTCTTGTCAACAGTTGATTCTTCTTCTCTCGATCTGTGCTAGAGATCAGCGCAGAACAATGGTCTGTGGCAAAACAGAAAATTTGCTTTATGCTCATCTCTGTTAAATATCTATTTTAAGGCTTTAGTTGATCATGGGAAGTTGATTTCTAAAAGAACGAAGATTCTATTCGTCTTCATTTAACTTGTGCTCAATGACGTTCAGAAAAGAAAATACAAAATCCGTATTCTTTTGTCGATTGAACTAACTATTGACATTGACAAATATTAATGATGAACAAGATTGATCATATACACATTTGATTTTCTCCTTTTATGCTATTATTCAATAATTTCTCTCGGATAAATCACTCAGATTGATGAAGAATACTTTGTAAGTATCTCATCGTTTTTCTATTTTCGGGAGAGAAGATTCAGACAGATTGATTAGCTTCAGTTGAGACTCATTGATTAGCCAAAAAATCTCTGACAATGGATAACTTTTTCATTAATCGATAGGAAAAGAAATACCAAGATGATTCATCGATACAGCTGACAAGTTTTTTCCATAACGATTTCTCCTAGAAAAGAAAACCATCAGACTAAAGTTAGCCTGGAAAAGATCATCTTGGTCTTTTCTTGTTACTTCTGATATTTATTTCAATCCAATTTCATTCTACCTAATAAACTATGAAATAATTGTCTTGAGAATCGATTATCTTTCAATCTTTTCCTGAAAATCTATTCATCAATTGATTCGATTATTATTGGATGAAAATGATAGTCGAATTTCAATAGGTTTAGTTGCATCGTCAGCAAGTGATACTCAGCGAGAAACAGTTTCAATCTAGTCTTCAATGAATATTCCACATCAGAGATGAACTAATTGCTGTATTGTTCATATGGTGATGCTTGGTAAAACATCATAGATTCAAGCTAGTCTGATGACTTCTTGTATTTTGAGGTCATAGATCGAGTGTTCAGAAGACGTTCTAGTCTAAAGAAGAGTCCAAACTAGACATCGGCGTGACCACCGTGACTACCGTGACTCACGGTCACTGTCACGGTCGTGACCAGTTTCTTTAAAAAAGTCGTGACCGTGACTGGAGCCTGGTCACAGCCGCTCACGATAAATTTTCAATATAGTCATATAACGGCTATTTTTCTAATCTCATGAAAGAATTCAATCAATTGCAACAAATTTTCTTTGGAGAGTTTTTTTTGAGAGTGCTTAAATTCTACAATCAATCTAAAAATCAGATATATTTTGTTATATCTGATTGTAAATCCCTTTCTTTTCTTGTTTTCACACCACCAATAGCCATTATGTTATAATTTTCATAAATAGAAACAACATTTACTCAGCGTTTTATGACCTTCGTCTACACTAAAAAAAGATAATATGATAGTGACTTCATATTAAATTGATGGATGTTTCCACTTATAAGTTAATGCATCAATCAAAGTGTATAATGAAGTATCACTTTGTCAAGCTCAATTGGAGCACACAAATCGAACTTAATTTTGAATAGCGATTTAACTTTAATACGTTTTTAAAAAGTGTAGTAACTTAATACACTTTTAAAACAATGGTGAATCTATGATTTTGGAAGGGGATGAAATCACACGCAAAAAAACATATTTTGACATGCATTCGAAATAGTATGAAGGTGTTTTTCGTTCGTTTTTGCTGGATAAAATCGAAAAAATCTTCTCGAATGAAGTGCAATCGTCCTGTTGCACGCCCTCACTGTTTCGAAACGGCATTAAATAAATATTCGTTTTCGTAGTGCCAGTGGAGCATCTAGGATTTTCAACGACGAGAGCGATTTTGGGTAAAACCCCCTTTTTAGGGATCATTCAAGATAGTGTCAACTCATTTTTCGTTTGTTTTTTTGTCGACACAAACCGAGGAAATTGTCTCGAAAGGGGGAGGGAGAGCGATTGCCCTATTGCTTCCATCCTAAACCTATCACTGCGTAGTGTAAAACAGGTCTATCTGTATAATACATATGGAGACAGGCGACAGAAAGATAAACTTATACAAACCATAGAATTCCCGTGACTCACGGTCACGGTCACGGTCGTGCTGTGACCGTGACCAAAAATTGTTGGTCACGCCGATTACTAGTCCGAATATCTTTAGAATTATTCGATCAAATCATTGTAGTAAAATACATTGAAAATTTTTCTAGAAAAGTTCTCTTTTGTGTCTTGAGGTGATGCAGCTGTTCTGTTAAGCAATTGTTTATGAAATAGATAAGTACTGCTGATGAATTTTCTTTATCATGTGGAGCATATCCTGACTTTCTCATTAGAGCGGAATTAGGTAAACTTGAAAAATTCAATCCATGGATTTGTGTATTGGTTGATGAAATATTAATCTACATTGGATTAACTGATATGGTAAGTGCGTATTTTAATAGAGAAAAAGAAGATCCTATCTCACATTTGGCATAGATTTCAGAATTAATTTTAATGAAAAATGAAATTGAAAAAGGATTCTCAAATCAATAAGTGACTATTCATCGATATGGCAAATTTCAAATCTTATTCAGTGAAAATATTGCCGTCATTTTTGTTCTCCTTTTAGTGGTTTTGCTAGGCAGATATGGAGAATATCTTTCAGACTTATTTACATTTTTAAAATAAACTTCATCTACGATCAATAGAGAATCTTTTTTTCAACTATTGTAAATGCTCAATAACTTAATTGAACAATTATCATTTGTTTATGAAAATAGTTTCTTGGTGACGATATGGAAAAGACTGACATTCCCATACTTTGTCTCACTCAGGTATGTAGCATAATAATATTCAACGATGAGTTTTTTGAAACTTGTAACGTGTGTTCCACAATTCTCTTGATCCTCATCATAGACAAACACATATATACTACGCCTTGTCCTTCTTCAAAAGCATTTCCATCTAAACTCGTCTGACATTTGATCGATCGAACTCATGGTTAAGTCATTCCATCAGTCTAAATGTATTCAAACTTCACCAACTTACGGGCAAAATGGGCAAGTTTGAATTAAAACAGCTAAGTTTCTGTAATAGTCGTCCGATCAATTCAAAAGTAGTTGCATCAGATAACTCTGACTATCCTATTTACTCGCACATATCATTATTGAAAAACTAGGCATGATTATCGGTTACAGAGTTCAACATGACGTTAATCTTCTCAATTGCAGTCACATTCAATAATAGTCGACGTTGACACAAGGAAAATAGTAGGCTAGTCGAACATCTAAGAGAAGTGCCCATTTTATTGAATGCAATTCCCAACAAGTTATGATCGTATTCGTGTTTGAGATGACTGAAAGCCATGCCTGGTAAGACTGTGCCCAGAATATTGCTCTCAAACGTCGAAAACTTCGGTTCACACAGTTTATGATTCTTCTTATAAATAGAGAAAACGTTGTAAGTCGGTGATTGATGAACTAGTATTCGAATCGACATGCATTGTATAAACTTGTTTTTATGCAAAACGATCAATAGCAATAAGAAATTCAGTAGCATTCTTCCATGAAGATCAACTACGAGCAATCTATCGTTTTGTGTTCTTCAACTAGAAACCAATCGTTAGCGGCGACTTCAGATATATCGGTCTGGCTGACCTCACTCGGTAAAAATGGAATAAAGAGCGCCATGGCCGGTAGCCGATACGAACAAAATCTTGCTCAACACTCCTATAATGAACAATAGCATATTTTTTCAACAAAAAACAATATTTTTAATTACAATTTTGTTCGTATTAACTGATTAAATACACAAACATCTAATTGATACCAACAAAATTCAGTTGGAACGTATCAATCCAGATGGTAAAGAAAACGGGAGGATATTCATCTACGCGCATACCAAGATAAACATTGGAAATGTCGTCTAGAACGAAATCATTGATTAGAACAGTAGAAAACCATCTATCATCACCATGGTTGCTATATTCTTGTTCAAACCAAGGACGTTTGAGCATCACCCATTTACCACCAAGATGAGCTCGATCACCAAATAAGTCGATGTCAAGCAGCGGTCGACCGATAACCTGACCAACAGTGTTAGAATTATGATCAATGGGCTAAAAAAAGAGAAAATTGTAAGAAAACTCTTTCTTATTGCCATATTGATTATTATATTCCAGTTGGAATCTTAATAAAGAATTATAATGATGAAAGAGATCTCTTACCTGACGCCGTAATCGGATGCGACATGTTAAATTGTAACGACCTGGAAGTAGATCGGTCCACGTAGGAACTGATACAGGGTATAGGCATGTTAAACGAGTCTGAACTGGTGACGGACAACATGCTGTGACACAGACACTACCATCTTCCTCAATCGCTACTGGTAATCGTTCGTGTTCAAGCATTGTATCATTCTCCCACAACATATCTCGCACAGCCACACAACGACGCCGATCAATCAAATAGGCGTATATAACCGCTCCTATCGGTGTGTCTCTTGTCGTCTTGTGAAGCCTAGAAAGAAGAAAACCATGTTCGTATGAGTAGAATCATCAGGAAATCAACCAATAAATGCGACATAGATTGAAATGACCTTATCATCTTTTATTTCAAATATCTCAACGAAGCTCATCTCTTGAAAGTTCTTTGTCGAAACTATTATGACTGCGGATCTATGAGTCTAAACTTATCAAATATGTATATTGTAAGTAGTCTATATCGATGTTCACCTACTCTGAGAAACGTCAACTGTCATAGATATGCAGAAGAAAATGATATCAAACGAACTGAGTCGTTATCATCGACTTACTCCACTAAAATCCAGATCGAGAGTGATCCCATCAATCCATCTGCCCACTACGCTTATGTCAAACCTGTCTTTCGTGAACAATTGCTTAACTCTTCGTGTCCTCTACTATGCGAACCGGTATGACGAAACACTCTATTTTCAAACAGCACTGATGGTCCAAAGTATGCAACGCTTACCGATGATAATATACACGAAAGAGTTTGGCCGACAATGGAATATGAGAAGTCAAGGGCGGCATTGAACCTGGACGATAGCATCGTTGATAAGCAAGAAAGCCGCGCATTGTGGACCCCGATGAAGTAAAACGACCGTGCCAGGTGCGGCTACGAGGGTAAGAAGAAACAATAGTAAACTGAGCGAAGGCAAGTTGATATGCAGTAGCTTCACAAGAGAGTCTTTTGACAAACTGGTCATTCTCGATACTGACGGCATCATCATCATCATCTTGATCTTGATCGAGCAAAGTTAGAATTGATTGAGAGAAGGCGGACGAACCCCATTTGACGTGAATCAAATGAGGCCAGAGTGACGAGCCATATGACCACAGCAGATGACGCAATGTTCGACATGTCGATGAGAGTTGAGCTATGTCAGATATTGATAAGTATTCACAAACAAAAAACCAACATAGATCGGGAAATTTCGTTGACCAATCCATTATCTACAAAAGACAAAAATACATCACAGAAATGTTCTAAGTACGCTAGTCAGTGTTGAGAGAAAATCTCATGACGATCACACATGGTACATGTCCAGTTTAATCCTCACACAGTAACCTCTAAATTCTTCAAATTTCAAGCGTTTCATAATAGAGTTATTTATGAAAAGTATTTTAGTTTCATCAGCTCGTTCTGTGCTGTGGCGAATGATCAGCGAGTACTCTACAGGGTGTCCCAAAATTAAAGATCACGTAAATTTTTCGTTTATCTTTACTATTTGATTTCACTTCATCAATTTTTTTTAAATGATAGATGAATGCACCGAGTTTTTTTTTTATAGGAACAAATTTCATAAGTACTGTTCTAAGATATCATCTTCTAGCGAAATACAAAAAAATAGACTTTTTTCTATTTCCAGAAAAATAACGGGTACGACAAGTCGAATGATCGCGCTTTGTATCTCAATTTTCATTCACTTAATACATTGTATTAAAAAACAAAATATACCACAAGATGCAGCGTGAAAAGCTCTACAATTTACATAAGACTACTTATTGTGTAGTTGCATTTTTTGTTTCCAAAATGCACAAAATTTTGAGCGACCAAATTTCTACCTGCGAAAACGATGTTTTTTGGTACAAGAGGAATTCGTTTTTTGTTATTTCGTCTTTTCATTAACCGATATGCTTTATTTTAAAAAAATATACCAGAAGATGCAGCGTGAAAAGCTCTACAATTTACAAAGAAAAGCTTATTTTATATATGCGCCTTTTATGTCCAAAATTCTATGTGACTAATTTTCGCCGTTCCGAAAATGTCATTTTTTTTCTACATTAATGAAATTCCTTTTTTTCTTATTTCATATATAAAATGAACTGTTCTTTGTAAATTGTAGAGCTTTTCATTCTACATCTTGTGGTATATTTTGTTTTTTTAATGCAATGTGTTAAGTGGATGAAAATTGAGATACAAAGCGCGGCCATTCGACTTGCTGTACCCGTTATTTTTCTGGAAATAGAAAAGTCTATTTTTTGTATTTCTCTGAGAGATGTTATCTCAGAACAATACTTATGAAATTTGTTCGTATAAAAAAAACTCGGTGCATCCACCTATCATTTAAAAAACAATAAGGTGATGAAGTTTAACGAAATAGTAAAGATAAACGAAATATTTAAGTGATCATTAATTTTGGGACACCCTGTACTAGTATCTGACAATTTCACTCATTCATCATGGATCTGACAAAAGAAGCGCATAAAATCCTAAGAATCTGTTTTTTATCTGCGATCTGCATGGACCCCAAATTGCCATTCTAGGTTTAAGCACACCTAGTCTATGGGCAGATGCAAAACTGACGAATTTTTCGAATGTGATGAAACCGAGGATGATTGGATGAAACTTTTACAGAAAATCAAGTTGAATTTTTTGATCATAAATATATTTCAATCAGTTTCTGATCGTGAGATATTCCCGAGATATTTGCAAAACTAGTGCCTCTAAAATAGTTTTTGGTTTATATCTCTAGAACGATTAAAGATCAGAAACTGCGTCTTATATTTCTAGAATCAGAAAAACACGCTTAATTTTTGGTACGAGTTTCATTCAATCATTTTTAGTTTCGCCGAACTCAAAATTATCACTCTTTATCACCGGATACAACGTACTAACCTTTATTGTTCATGTGTATAAAGAGAGCATAGGAAAGAAAAAATTATTGACGAATAAACACATCACTATTGAACAAGAGCAAAAAAGAATTCATTCGAATTATGCAGAAAAATATTCACCGTTTTTTGTTGTATTTAAACTGTTTGACGAGAACTCCTTCTGAGACATACTAACAATATCTGCGACACTGTATTATGTATAAACTAATTCATCGATGAAAGAAAATGTCTATGGATATAGTGTCATGCGAATGTATTCCAGAATCACTTTCGAATTTTTATTCATTTTTGCACTGTCTCACGTTTTTTATTAAACGCTTTCACCATGAAAATGTTTTGTTAATCTTACTCTATTGTAGAGCAGGCACTTTCGACAAATCCAAAATAAAGAAAAAAATCAGATAAATAAAAAGTCAATATAACAAAATTTAAGTTATACTGAAAGAGTGACAAATCTTCTTATCTTTTAATATGTTTTATTAGATAGGTTTATCAAAAAACCTCATTATCACGTTCACTTTTCATGAATGAGTTCATCATCGTTATACTATTCAATTATCTTGCGGCTTTTCTTCGTCTATCATGTTCGGAATATGTAACAGTGTGAAGGACGCACTACGAATATAGTTTACCTTATACAATCATGGGCAACAAATTTCTAAGAACAGGAGCACTACGTCCACTCATCGTTTTCTATTCAAATCCTGTTTTCTTTCGTTTTACTGTGACTTCGTGCTCACTTAATATATTCATTAAATATGTCGAATGAAAAGGTTTATCGATATACTTGTCTTTGTATCGATGTTTGCAACATAAACCTAAGCAATGTGAGGTTGTAAATTGAGTTCGTTGATTTCTAGAATCTCTGATCAAAATTAATTTTTTCCGATTAGAATTAAGAAAAAGTAGTTTTGTAACGATCAAAAGCAATTTGTTCGAAAAATGAAGACTTCTAAAATTTGTTTTGTTCAATTTTGTTTCAATAATTTTCAGCCTGTGATACAAAGTTTTTTTCTTCATATAAAAAAATAATATAAATTCTGAGTAATATACGTATATGATTTATACTAGTCTGGTCTAGATCAGTACATAAGACTGCTAATCGTTCGATGTCGCATCGCAGGTGCTCTTGCTTTTTCGATGGATGTTAGAACAGTACAACGCGTGTCTAGTCTTTTTTACCTGGCCTTTGCACGATTGGGGAAGTTGAGATTATTATAGATGTTATTGACAAAGTTAAACAGTTAAAATAAACATGAACAAACGTATAAATAAAGAAAGATTAATATAGAAGACATTCGAAAAGAAAAAGATCGTTGACATAAGATTATATGATGAAGAAAGAAAACATTATTTATTCGTTATTGATCACAATCAGTTTGTTTACAATGTATTGTTGCTTGATTATAGTTACTTAAATAAATTGTGATTATCTTTATCCTCAATGGAAAAAATATTGTACGAATAATCAATTATATGATATTGAACTAAATCAATGTTATAGTAACAATCCAAATCAATAAAAATGTAAATGTAATCGACAGGATTTAACTGAAAAAATAAAAAATATTTTGGAAAATAACAATTTTTATTCGCCTTCATTAATTCGTAGTTCAACTGTTCTTACGATTCATGAAAATGAAACACCTATTCCTTCTCGTATGTGTACTATTGGTAAAACATCCTGTTATGGTATAAATGCTTATTGTACTTTTCATAATGGTACATAGATTAGATATGTATGTCCACAAGAAAATATGTGTAAGACAGACAATGGCATGACACCTTGTCAAAGGGCAACATCTTCTGATGAATATATATTTCATTATATTCTATATCTTTCATCTCTTCTTCAATTAAAATGAACAAATATTGTTATATTTTCATTTGTTGTTTATTAATTGTTAAAAGGAAAATCTTTTACTAAAAATGAAAAGATTATAACAAAGATTTTTTCATTTATTTCTCGATGGAATAAATGTTTGTTCTTTACTTTGTCATATTCTATTCGATAGAATTTTGTTAAATTTTCTTCTAGAACTTAACAAGTAAAAGTCAATTGATGATAAACTTATATTTGGAAAAATGAGATGAGTATGGTTCTTGCCAATGTCCGCTCTCGATCACATGCAATTAATTTGTGTATTTCGATTCTTCATATCTTGTTTTACTTTGTTTAACTGAATCATTTATGTTCTAGTGTAATCGACTATATGCAAATCTAAATCTTTTAAGAAAATGACTTTCTTTCGAAAAATAATGTTCAAAACTAAGAAATCATGAACGACTACAATATGCCGTAGAAACCTATCGATAAATCATTTATTCTATAAGGTCAGCTACAAAACTTTTCTTGTCAATATTGTTCTTTATGAATATTTGATAGAGAAAAAGAAAATGTTGATTAAAGTTTGCCACGATGATACTTGGATTTAACTGGTCAATAGAAATTGTCAAGTAAATCATTTTTTTTACTTTATGTAAAATAATATTGTTGTTTTTGGATTTGAGACTTATTAAATTCTCTTCGAACTCATTGTTATTAATGATAATTAATTAAATTCGATTTATGTTTAATAAATAGTATATATATAAAGAGCTTATCAATAAATCGTCTAAGTTAAATTCTTGTGTTTATATTCGTATAAATGCTTTGAGAACAAGAAAATATCTTTCGAATGATAATCTAACTGACTAATGGATTGAACAGTCACAAATGAAGAAAAGGAAAGTTTTCAAATCAGCAAATTCATTTTCGAATGATTAGAAGGAAACATAATCTTCTGAAGACGATCTTTATAGTCAACGAATCTTTTGGATTTTTTAATTCTAGAACTTGTCGAAAAAGTAACGCCGGCAATTGTAGAATTCTAGTGGCATTGTCTGAATTTTCACTGGAACAAAAAGAAAGCAAAAAAAGAAAGTATAGTTTAATATTTTTTTATTTTTCATCATCGATAATTGTAGCAGTACCTTGAAGAAAATCTTAAATATTAATTAGCAATTTCAAAAATAAGAATTGAAATCATGACAAGAGTTCTCATTGAAGATTTGCCAAAGACATATTTTCAGAAAATATTTCCGTTCAAAAGTTGATAAAAGTCTGAAAAGATAAAATAAAAGAGAAAGTGTTCTATGAAAAAGAATAAATCGAATCATAAATAATTCTATAGTTTCTTCCATTGAGATAACTCTTTATTTATTTAAACAAAGAAAAGAAAGGCAATTCAAATATAACTCACTTGTTATTTTTCAAATAGTTTTCATTGAAATTGAATGTTAATACGGATACGATTTCGAATTGTCAACTTGTAAACCTTGATCACATTGTTCTTGATGTTTTTCATCGAGATAATTCAAAATAACATCTTCATAACCACTCTTTCCTTTATATTGCGAAAAATCATCTGACCAACTACGTATAGCTGAAGCTAATAGTTCTGGAACACCTGCTTCTTGAGCAATTTCAATAAGAGGAATAAAATAAGGATGGATAGTGAAAAGAATAGCTCCCGATCTTGGTGTTTGTCTTTTCAAACGAAAATGAATTTGTTCAATAGGTGGATTTGGTTTAGCATTTTGCCATCCAATACCAAATGTATCTTCTGATTCAATATGACGATAACCAAGCTAGTTCACTATCCGTTTGAATAAAATAATTATATCGAACAATTGGATGTTGAGGAGTCATTTTTTTGAAAGTATCGTGCCATACTTGATTTTAATTTCTCTTGAAATTGACGAACATCATCTGACATATGAATTTGAGCAAGAAGCATATTAAATTTATCTTCAAGACGCCAAAAACCAGGAAGAAGAACACAACTATATTTAAGGTAATATTGTCTGTCGTCTCCTTAAATCATCTTGAATTAAAAGTGATGCATATTTAAGAGGATCACCACTTTTTATCGGATAAACTTCTCCTGTTGTTTTTATTTGAATTTGTTTATCTTTATTAATAAATTCATATTCGAAAAGTGATGGATAACTTTTCAATTGACCAATCTGGATAACGACCTGAACGAGGGGATTCAAGTGAAACAGGAATCCATTTTTTCATAAATCTTTTATTATCAGATGTCGTCTTTACTGATTTCTTTACGTGCAGATCGAATAATATAGATCAATGCTCCAATAATTAGCACGATTGTTAATAAATATTCCAATATCGATCAACTATTCTAAAATCAATAATACATATATATATATCAAATGATCTTTTCCTATCAACAATGGTTCTCATTGAAAAAAAATATAATATCAATTGACGTCAACTATTAGAAAATGTAGGTTACTTCGTTTTCATACTCACCTTGCTCTTGAACAAAAGTGAAAAGAAAACGTAGCCATTCTAACATCAGATAATGATACTTTCAAATAAGATAAGAATAGCACGAAAATGTTTATTGGATGCCGTTGTTTACCCTGATGATTCAACTGGAAGTCATTTCTTCTATGGACATTCATATTTTATTTGATGGTCGATCTTTCTATTCTCGTATATTATTCTCATGTATATTAAATCAATGATCGAATAAGAGAATGTGTCTATATTGATAGATATATTTTATTTGAAGAAGTATTCTTCGATAAGATTGTTATAACATCTCTACGGCGTTTTTTTAATGAAACTTATCTTTTTCAGTTTCGAAATGAACTGTCTATATATATATACTATATTACAAACGTAAGTCACAATGATTTTTTTCTTCGTCAGAGATCTTTCAATTGATCAGGGTGTGAGTGGGTGTGGATGTGAATGTGGTTGTAAAGAGAAGATCCACACTCACACCCACACCCATTCATCATTTTTAGTATCATCAATATTAATTGGTTCTTTTAACCAAAATACAAGTGGTACTTGTTCCACATAGATTACACACTTTGAAACAATCGAACATTTGTATAACAAAAAATATTTATTGTATCAAAATATTCATTGTCATTTATTTTTGATATATTTGCTCGTTTAGAGTGATTTGAAGGAAATTTAAAATCACTAATTGAATAAGAGCCTACATCTTGTTCATGAATTAAATATTGAATATCCGACTTATTCAATTTTTGTTTTCTAGAAAAATGAATTTTCTCATATAAATTGATTAGCACGTTTATTTTAATACTTGATCTTGAGAAAAATAGGTGCCTCGTTATATAAACAAAGAAACGGAAGTAGAAGTTACATATTGTGTTTTTTTTTATCATTATTTCTATGCAGAAGAAGGACAAATAACAATGATTGCACAGTAGCACGGTAATACATTGCGAGATTTATTTATTCATTGTTATGTAATAAAATAAAATGTTTTCTCTATTCAGCATATTGAGAGTGTGGATGTGGATCAAGGGGGAAAAAACTCATTCGGACATTCCGAGCCATTTCAATCCATGCCGTGTCATTCCTATTCATTCTAACACATCCGCGTATAGTCCCTATTGTTGCACATTACTGCACTGAAATTTTTCAATAGATTTTTCTCCTGAGATTGTCAGTTTTCATTTAAACTGGTTTAGATAGATTTTGAGCATATTTAACGCATATTGCATACGTAGCGATGCCTCACACTTTGAGAGTCAGTAGAATTTCTTGAATTGGAAACTGCAAGATAGTGATGTAGACAAATCAGAGAGTGATACAAAGGAGAAAACTCATTAAGACATTCCCAGTTATTTTACATAGGGCAGCCCAAAAGTAGCGGCAGTGATATTTTAGTACCGTATAGTAAGCTTTAAGAAACTTTCTTTTTATATACAATGACAGCAAAACAGATGCTCTTTCTTTCCGTGGTATTTAATCATACTTCACTTAAATCATAATAATACAATTTTGATATTACCTGTTTTTTTCTCATCTGTGCCGCTTATACTAATCCCTATTTAGCTGATATTTTTTGAATAGCTTTTGATAGAACCAAGATAGAGAGCTGTGATTTTCATCGTTCGAAAGAGGATATGAAGATGCATCGAGCCGTATACCATATTTTTTTTTGACATGACCGTTTTTAATGTTTTCAATCGACCTCTTTGAAAACAAAATTACCCGTGAGGTGTTTACAGTGAATTCTCAATTGCTGGGTGTGTATTGAAACTGCTTATGAAAGATCCACAAAATTTCACACGGTTCAGAAGTTTAGAATTAATCATTCAGAAGTTATAAGTATTCTAGTCGAAGCTTTAAGTGATTTTTCTGGCAATTAATGTAAAAATTTTTTTGCTGTTTCCTTTTTGATAAGAAACCATTTTCGTGACACTTAGAAAATTGATTAAAAAGACATCAAACCACATAGTAGGAAAATATGCAATACATGATTCAATGCATCTTCATCTCCTCTTTCGGATGATGAAGACCACAGCTCTCTGTATTGTTTCTATAAAAAGCTATGCAAAAATATCCAATGGACAATAGTATAACCGTCATATATGACGGAAAAACAGATCTTATTGAAATTTTATTATTACGATATTAAGTGAAATATGATCAAATATTCCAGAAAGAAAGCATTTTTTTACGATCATTGTATATAAAAAGAAAGTTTCCCAAAGCTTACTATACAGTGCTAAAATGTCCCTGCCACTACTTTTGTACTGCCATAGCCATAAGTAAATCATGCTTATTTATTCAAACGTAATGGTTGCTTTTGCACACTATTCCAGTAGTCCTTAGAAATTAAAAAAAGCTATGGACTTTTTCCATTGCATTTTTCGACATATTAATGGTGCACAAGGTCTGGGTGGGTTATTCCATATATTCACACAGCTCGCAATTAAAAGCAGTTAAAGGAAAAATGATTAGTCATGGTAGGGCATAGCTTATGAAAAAGCACCACTTTCTTTAAAAGAGATAAAGCCTTCTAATCCTCTTCCTTTCGTTCTCTTATTGAAGTCGAATTCATGGTTACTAAGTAAAAGATAAACAGTTAATACATTTTTATCACACAGATATGACGGCGTCTGTTACTTAAAGCTGCAGCTTTGCATACATCATTCTTCATTATCTTAGTCAAGTTTCATTGGCACAAATCTAGAGCTCAACATTAGCAAATCGAACAAGCTTAAGGCCCTAACATTCAAATGTAAAGTTATAAAAAATTTAGAAATTTCGAGACATTCTTAGTCATTCCGGCCCATTCCGATCCACTCCAATCCATTCCGAGCCATTCGAATGGATCAAAATGAGTTTTTACCCCTTGATGTGGATCCTTGTATTCATGTTATCCGCACCCATACTCATTCTTAAAAATGTATTGACTCCAATATATCATGATTTTTAACTCATAACTCTTTCAAAGTATATCGACATTACTTTTTTCACTTTAATCTTTGTTTTAAAAATTCGACTCTTGTAGATTCAACAAACGATTTTTGTTGTATAAATCAGTGTTAATTTTTGTAAAATATTTCAAATTTTTTTTATTTAAAATAAAATAAATAAAATAAAATTTGTTCTAATATTAGTCGATATAGGTCTACAAATGAATATCGGTTGAATTACATTTGTAACCCATCTTTCCCTCTGTTATTTATTATGAAGTTTACTTTTTTTATGCTCAAATGGAAAACGTATGAGGTATTTTCAGATTTACAAAATGACTAAATTTCGAAATTGATGAAAGTTTTCAATACCAGCATAAAATTTTTGTAAGCAACTAAATACAGAAATTCACCAAACACTTCCAAAAGTTCTCATTTCTGAGTGAATTCTGAAATTGTTGAGACATTAGGAAGCAATTTCAAGATAATACCAAGAAGTATCACTCTCCAAAGAGAAAACTTCTAGCTACTAAATTCAAAAAGGGTGTGGGTGTGGATATAGAGGAATTAACCACCCACACCCACACACTCACACCCACACCCTCCCACACCCACACCCACACCCACACCCATGGATAAATTGGTATGGCAACGTGCTTAATTGATAAATGATTTTAATTAATTGATTGATGATATTCAAAATGAATATACCTTTACAATCACGATTCTGACATCGAAAAATCAATTTCGTGGCTGTGGCATGTTCTACAGTGTAGACCTAACTTTCGTGGAGGAGCATTGGTTTTCCTTTTTCATAAAGGAGTTTCTGGATTTGAGACATTTTTTGGAAGTGTTGTGTACAGTAAACGTTCAGATTGAGAAATGAAATATATTTTCAACATCATTAATATTTATTTTTTTATCTCCCGATCACATAATTAAGAACATTGGATCAGTGTTATCGTTAGTCTAGATTATGTCGAAATTCATTAAACGATTGACAAAACTAATTCTTTTTTGAAAACTTTAGCTCTATCATGACTACACGTGATTAACATGTTCTATTAATCCGTTTTCCCAATTAAAGTTATCATCTTCAGTGCAATCTTTTCTTCAGTACATCTTTCACATTTTTTCATTTCTTTTTTTTTATTCGGATTGGTTATACAAAAAAATTAATTAAGAGTGAGATCGACATATTGATCGCAATGATATTGTTCGCGACGAACAGAACGAAAAAAACTGTTCTGCGACGAATTGATCGCGATGAATTGATTGCGACGAATTGTACTAGTGCCTTCATGTATAATACCGTTTCGAATCGAATATTCAACGAAGAAAATCGATCTCTTGCTTTCAAGGCACACTTGTCTATGAAAAGTATTATTTCTTTCATGTATACGCATGTTGATAACATGGTAATCAGGCAAAGTGAAGTATTTCATTTTCGTCTACCGATTGATTGGATTGTTATGTAAAAACACAAAAAAAAGCTTTCTATGAATCCGCAGTAGAAAATGAAAAATGAGATGGAAGGAGAGAGACCTTGACATGTATAGGATGGATGCCAAATAAAGTGGATTCATAATTGAATTTTCTCTTTGAAATGTGTTTCTTCATTCGAAAATTTCAATGCTTCTTTATGCCTACTGCATAGACATGTATCGAACTGACTTGAAAATAAAAAATATAAATATGGAGTGTCTTTTTTTCGAATATGTTTTATTGATCGCCGAATGATTTTTGTGTTGACTATTCTTCTTTCCCTACATGAAAATACTATCGAAAAAAAATACGACAGATATTTTCTCCCAAAGGACCACGTCAAATAGGTTCAATTAAGAGAAATAGAGAGAAAAGAAATGCTATATAAATAGTGAAGCCCTTCTGTCTAGCATTCATTCTGTCCATATATTAAAAATCAATAGCTTTCAGCAATGTAGATACTGAGCAGCCGACAACAGCGAGTGGTTGATTTCAAGAACTGAAGATCAGAAACTAGACTTCCTCATCTGGATTAGTACGTATTTCTACAATATATTAACTCTTCGACACATTTCCACGCATTTTATAGAACTCACATATATTTTCGAAGAAAATAGTGAGTGTAAGTTTCAAGTTCAAGTTTTCGCGGCTCGTTCCCTCTCCCCTCTCCATTATAGATATTCCCGCCCCCCCCTTCCAGACCTTAGCAATCAAACATAGCACGCATCAGATTTTCTCCTTTTTTTACAATATTGATGACGTTATAATTTTGAAAAATAATAAAAATCATTCTTTGTGAGTTGATTAATATATATGATAGTGTGTAAGATCTGCTGTAGGTATCATGAATTTGTAGAACAGACTTATTGGTCAATTAGTTCAATGATTATAATAATAATAATTTTAAATTAAGAAATATGAATTTAAAAAAATGAAAAATAATGAGCGAATAGCAACAATGCAAACAAAAAAAACAGAGTACTCGTAGAAAAAAATTAAAAATTCTGTTCGAAATGCAGAAATTAGAAAGATTATTATTCTGAACATTGATTATTTTGCAAAACAGCTATACTCTACGAGAGATTTATAACTTTACGTATTTTGTATTATCACCATGTCACTCTCATTGTCTACCGACTTCTGTCTATAAAATGAGTAGTGACTCATACATTTACTGATTCAATCAAGAGATTTCTTGACTTAAATTGGTTAAATTGTTATGAATCTTATGGATGGGCGTGAATGAGGATGTGGGTGCTTATGAGAGTGACTGTGACTGGATCTCAAGACAAAATTCATACCAAACCCCATCCATACTATTATCATTATGCAGATGGTCGTCTTTCTTTCTATTTTTGATGAAATATAACCACTGACTTCGTTTCTAAAGGAATCACAGGTCATATTTTGTACATCGAAAGAAGAAACAATGCTCGTATGTGGACTGCTTGTGAGTAGACAGGCAAGGAATTAGTCATCGTTTTAATTTGATTCTTTGTTCTAGCTGATTCATTTCGGAGTCATCGGTAGCTCTCTTTTGAGTAGTGTTACCTCGACGACAATTCGATCGGCAGCTGAACAAGCAACAACCGAACATCGACAACTACTCGAAAATCGGACCGTAACAGAAAGTCTACTTGGTGACCATGAAGAATCCAAAGACAGCCAGAGAAATATACTTACATTTCTGGATGATACAGAGATAGTTCGACTCAATGTAGGCGGTGAACTCATGTCAACATCTCGATCTACTCTTACTCGCGTAATCAACTCAACTCTGGCAAGAATGTTCGACGGTTCACCGAAATATCAATTACAATTTGATCGAGATGGAAATGTTTTTCTTGATTTCAATCCAGTTCTCTTTCATCACCTACTCGAACAATTGCGAATGATGGAGAACGATGATTCTCAACAGTTTCATGCTCCATCATCACAGTCGCTTATTGCTCCATTTAACAAGATGCTTCAAAAACTAGGTCTCGATCCAGCGCCACGATTGGACACAGATATCATCATACTCAATGTTGGTGGTGAAATCATAATGACATATCGAGATACACTTATTCAACTACCAGATTCAAAGCTCGCAACCATTGTCTCATCTAACGAATCAGTGAGTGTTGACTCCAGTGGTCATATTTTCCTCGATTTTAATCCAAGACTGTTTCGCCATTTGCTTGATCAACTACGCTCAAGACAGAAAACAACTATTCATTCTTTCAAAGCACCATCAAATGAAGATACGAAGGCATTCAACTCGATGCTTATCAGTCTTGGTCTTAAGTGTAAGTGTGGCTGGCTTTATCATTTTTTCCTTGTCGAATTCGACCAAAGATATTTGACTGATGGTACAAATCTGCATTACATTTTGTGTAGTCACTTTCAACATATCGATGGTCAAATAGAGCATCGAAGAAAATTGTCTAGCGTTGAGACTCGGTTAATAAACCGTAACATATTCGTTATGGCTCTCACGAATACACATTAGCCATCTTTATTGTTCGGCCTGATGATTGGAATGTAGGATGATTCTCATTAGATTCTCTAAAGCACAAACGACAGATAGACATATTGAATCTCCTTAGGGGAGTCTTCAATAGAGAAAGATGCCGTACTCAAGCATTGAAAAAAAGATGGACCTAAGAGACTTCTATTCAAAAGATGAGGTTTAATTCTGTAATTTATTGCTCTTTTCTAGCATTGCGACGTGCCTATGACATTTGTGCGAATGCGAGATGGGCACAATATGGCACACCAGTTATATGGGGATATGAAAATGGCAATTGGATGAGGCAAGAATATAACTATCCACGTGGTTTGTATGTTGACGATAACGGAACTCTGTACGTAGCAGATGCTTCTAATCATCGTATTATGGAATCGTTGCGTGATGCAATCAAGGGTCGAACTGTCGCCGGAGGGCATGGAAACGGTAGCCGGAGTGACCAAATGAATAAACCAGTTGATTTTATTATCGACGAAGACGGCAGCTTGATCATATGTGATTCTAACAACTACAGAGTAGTACGATGGTTTCGAGGCGCCGATAACGGAGAAATCATTGTATCTAACATCGGCTGCTGGGGTTTGGCGATGGATGACCAGAAATGTTTGTACATCTCTGATTGGGTCAACGATCGTGTGATAAAATTATGTGAGGACGAGATAGATTTTACATTGGTGGCTGGTGGTAAAGGGTCGGATGCTCGTCTTGACCAACTAAATGGATCTCGACATCTAGTCATCAATCGAGATCGTTCAATTTATGTAGCAGATGTCTACAATGATCGAGTGATGAAATGGGACGAGGGCGCAAACGAAGGCATTGTAGTGGCTGGAGGCAACAGTCGAGGAAGTAATCTCGACCAATTATCACAACCGTTGGGAGTCATTGTCGATGAACTCCACACTGTATATGTTGCAGATACGTTTAATCATCGAATCGTTCGTTGGCCACAAGGAGCTACAGTTGGAAGCGTCATGATTGATGGGAATGGAGATGGTGCGAATACAGATCAGTTGAGTTATCCAACGAGCATTTCATTCGACCAATATGGTAACCTTTATGTGAGCGATTTCGGTAATCACCGAGTTCTAAAATTCAAAATTGACACAAGTTTGTGCTTAGCTGAGTGATATTCTTCGATTCGCAACGGTACTGTTATCTTCACTTCCCACTTTTCATCCATTGAAATAATAAATAATTTGCGCCACAACTAATTAGCATATAGATCATCGATTATTCGAAACCGTTGAGGATGTGTGTCTAACTATTTTTGAATGTGTGTGTTCACATGGTGTAGTTGAAAGTGTAAGTCGAGGTGTAAACAGGCGCATTGACTTGCAACCCCAGTTAAAAAAGTCTCAGACTTCTGTGGCGAAGTACCGAGACTATTTAACTTATTTTCGTCTTTCATGACGGCTAGAAAACTTTGATAGTCTATTGTTGATGGCTGAAATTTTTCAACGAACTTTTTAAAAATTTTCTCAAGTTCAAGACATTTTGCAATAGAAAAAAGAGAATACGATAGTAGAGAACTTACTGTCAAGAAAATATATAAGAACATCTCGAAAAACTGATTTTGAGCTGTATAAGATGCTGGGATGCGGATATAGTTGGAAAGACCGAATAGATCCATGGCTGAATCTACATTCATTTTAGTATGCCGCACAGTCCATGCCGATGGTAAACAAATCTCCACGATGACACTCACTGAATGTAGTTTCCAACACTAAACTAGACGTGTTTGGATCGGATCATTACAGAGCATGAGGAATCTTATACGGAAAGAATGAACGTGCTTGAATGATCAAGGCATAAAACACGTGATTGCCAGTATGTCATGATGAAAGGGTGTGAGTGTAGGTGCTAGTGTCAGTGCGTATGTCGTTATAAAATAAGTGAGGGTATGTGGATGTGGGTGTTGACGTCGATATTGTCCTAGAAGTGGGTTTCTTTCAGTGAAAGAGTACACCTTTACATCTGCTCACACCTTTCACTCAGTCACCAGGGCACACAGAACATTACACACTGATATCCCACACAACTTTATCGATACCTCTGCCCAGACACTCCCACAAATCACAACACTTTTGCCAACCCCCCGTCCGCAACAATACCCACATCTACTTCAACACCTACACCCAATACACACTCACATTCTCAAGATAAAAGTAATTTTTTATTCATGGATTAATATTCATATTTGTCTTTCGATGCTAAAACCAATTTTAGGAAAATTTACTTTTCAAAAAAGCTTTTGTCTATTTCTGCTCAATAGCACACCTACGTAGTTGTCGATCAGTTTGACATGCAAATAAAGCATTTTTTTCTAAAGCATTAAATGTGTTTTGAAGCACTTTCTATCGGATATGCGAATAACATTAAGATATGGAGATTATTTTGTTTTTGTGTCTTTTATTAATTCGACAAATAATTAACTTCGATGCAGCTAAAAATTATATTTAACATTAATAAATGATTGAAACGATTTTCAATGCTTCATTAACATTTTCATGGATAACTAGATTCAATAATAGAATCACATACTTCATTTGTTATTACATTTAATATTTCTTCAGGGCGTTGCTTTTTATTCATGTTTTTTTGTGAAATTATTTATAACGGCATGCTCATTTCACTAATTTAACATTTAACTACTACATATCCAATCTTTGTTTTTTCTATTTCTGTCGATCAACATCAAATTTCAGATAATATTGTGCACTGTATGCACGGCTGTCTACTCAAAATGCTTCTTCATGTGAAAGTAAATTATTTTCGAAAATAATTATTTTATACTTAAAAGCTTTTTGGTACTTAAGCAACGTGTCTACAAGTTTCTAACATAAGAATAAGAAAAAGATGACAGAATAAAGAACGTGAATATGGACATATTATTGAGTAGGATATATTTTATTGTTAGTATACGTACCGATCTATGTGTATAACAATTATATAAAAGAAGTTTGTTAGTCGTTGCTTTGTTTATATATTATTTGGAACGATTTATTTTTAGACTAACTTTATTGAATTTCTTTGAAAACAAAATCGATGTATTGTAAAGCTGTCCTATGTATATTCTGTTATTAAATTAGCATCAAAATAATAGTAACAGTAATGTAGCTATTCTTTCGTTTTTAGTGCTCTTGTCTCATCATCTGTATAGAGATGAATCATCAACGCTTCCACATCTAGCAGCAATTTACATACAAAAATCAATGATCAGTACTGTAACATAATGTTATACATATCCTGTTAACAGTATTCTCCATCAATAAAAGCTATATAGCTTCTTTTTCTTATTATGTTTGTCTTATCTTATAAATAAAGGGTGTCTCATAGGGTTTTGACCCCCTTCAAGTAATACTTCTTTGCTATATGATTTTCCGGTAGAATAGTAGAGCCCTGCACGGAGTCATTTTCGTAGAGCCAATTAATTTTTTTCTCAAAAATTTAGTTTTAGCATAAAAAATTTTTACCCTGCCGGTTTTGTTGTCCGATATTTAATGTATAAACCAATGCATTTTAGAGGTTTCAGCGATATCTTATCAAGATGTATGAACATAAAAGAAAGTCGGAGTCAGATTCAACTAACTTAGTCATATATTTTTTTAGCACAAAAGCTACTCAATTAAAATAAGATTCACTATATAGGTTGTAGAGCTTTTCACGCTACATCTTGTGGTATGTTTTGTTTTTTAATATAACGCATTATATGATAAGAAAATAAAATACAAAATGCGATCATTTATTCTGGCCCACCCGTTATTCCAAAAAATTCCAATGAATTTCAAGTTACTTATGTCTCTGTGATTATAATAGGTAGAAAGGTGAAATTCTAGCGTAGAATAGATCTAGATGTCTAGTGTACATACTGTAAATATTAGCCTATTCTACGGAAACAATATATAACAAAAGGAGTATTACTTGGAGGAAATCAAAACTTATGAGACACGCTCTATGTCTTTACTACTTAGTAAGAGCATCAAGTATAAATACCAATTGTTTTCCAAATGTATTGCTCGTACAATATATGAATTATATGTTATTTAATGGTTTGAGAGCTTATCTTGGTGACCTTTTTTGAGAAAAAAATTTTATTGATCAAGATTCGCTAGTTTATCACAATTCTTCAAATAAAGCAATTCCATCCATTGAAATCAAGTTAACAATACATTCGTTAACTGGAATCTCAAATAAAATTTTCTTTTTTTTTTGCTAAAGACTGCTCTCGTATATATTGGTCTAGATCCATTCCATTCTTTTCATCACTAGTACAATGACAACTAAAATCCACTAAAAATAAACATCTTCAATGAAACCTTTATTTAAAGTATCAGAAACTGTTACTCGATAGTCAACTTTTATTAGTTTATGCTTATAAATTAAGAAAACACAATAACGTTAAATGGTATGTTTTTCATACAATGATTCATTTTCTTAGTACAGCAAAAATGAATTTGTTATTTCATTCAATAAAAAACGAAATTAATTGAAGCATCATGAAAAAAATAATTAAATATTCATTCAGAATTTTCACTCTTGAATTAATAGACAAACATATTATTTCAAATATTTATAAGCTGTTTTGTTTATCAAGAAAACTATTTTGAAAAAAAAACGTCAATCATGTCTGCGTATACAAACGCTTTTTTTTCACAATATTCATCATCCGTTATGATTATTGCAAGAAAGCAAACAAAAGGGTGATGACAAAACATAAACACAGAGACGCAAGGACATACAATAGTTGATTGATATTTTCCATCCCAAAAAAAGCAACAACAACGAAAAAGAAAAATGAACACGAGCACTGATCATAATAATAATAATAATAATGATTGAAGGAAAAAAATGTATGCTTGTTTTCAAAACAAAGAAAAAAAAAGTTGAGACATATGCAGACATGAATACGTTCTAGAGACTCTAATCATCAATAGTAATCGTACCTGATCGTTTAAGTTTCTTATTAACCGGTGTTAATGAATGATGAATTGGTGATGTTAATGGACGTTTCTCACCCGTTATGTTAGATGAAGGATGTACATCTGTAGTTATTGAAGAAGAAGACGAAGAAGAAGATAAAGAAGGTACAAGTAATGGTGGAGGCGGAGCAGGAGAAGCAAATTCATGTGTAATGCCACTTGTAGCAGCTGTTGCTCGTGATCTCAATGTCATTCCATATCGTTTTGGAGGTGTCGTTGTTGTTGTTAACGGGTATTGATCAATTAATTGCGAGAGTCTTTCGTCGCTAAAGTCAAATGAAGAGGAAGAAGACGAATCATTCGTTGGTGGACATGGTGCATGCCGACAACGGCATACACCATTACCACATAAACGACGAGTATGTGGTAATGTTGACGGAGGAATACTAGTTGGTACAACAGCAGCTGTTGATATTGTTGTTGAACTTGATGTTGATGAACATGAATCCGTAGATTTTTTTGTATGACGACGTCGTGCAAGTAATCCATCAGTTACAGATGATAATTGAAATTGACCGGCTTTTTGAAATGCACGCATTGTTATATTAACAGCGCGAACCTTTAAAATAAAAAATAAATATTTGAGTTAATCTTTCAGAATACATACAATAAGAGATCGAGATGCTTGAGAAAGAATATTAGGTGTTAGTAAAAGTTGTTGATGATCAAGTGTTGTTGATTGACTTGAACCACGAAGCCATCCATTCCTTGTTAAATCTTTAATTGTCAGTCGTTTTGATGGATCAACAGTTAATAAACCTAAAAATATACATTGTTCGAATCAGAGATAAAAAGCCGATACATATACACGAGCCCTTAGAGAACCGAAAAATCGCTTGACTGTTAGTTCTCAACTATTGTGTAGATCCTGAGCCCTGTGTGTATTAGCTCAAATTTTGACGAAAAATATTTATAGAAATCCGAGAAAAAAAGGAGAAGGTTGTTAACCAATGAAACCAGTCCTCTCTCCATATTAAGTTTATTATTTTTCCAAGAGTCAATTAAAATGTCAGGAGTCGATTGCCGTTCGCACTAGACCATTATGTCTAATTTCGGCTGACTCAAAACTCGACATTATCGATCTCCTATAGCGTTATGCAATGCGTTATTTATATGAAAAGTTTGTTTCTCTTCTTCAGTTCCATTAA